TTGGTGAACAATGACTTCAAAATGTTTACTAGGCTATGTGAGTCTGCTCAAAGGCTCTCAGAGATGGTCCAGCCTTCCTTCAAGATAACTAGTTGGAAGGACAAGAGGCAAGGAGGAATTGTTGCAGTTGCCGAGGAGGTCCTAAAGGAGGGGCAACGTCCAAAGAAGCAAGTGAGAGCCTTTAAGCCCAAGGAGCCACCTTCGTATCAATGTGGCATGAAGGAAGTTCAAAAAATTCTCACAGAATGAATCAAGAACGATGATGTCGAGCTACCACTAGTGGAAAAAGAGCCAACTAGAGAAGGGAAAAACAACCCGACCTTCTGTGAGTTTCATCGTCAACCAAGCACAACCTCAAGGATTGCTAGACCGTGCGCCAAATCTTTCTGAAGCACTTAAAGAGAAAAGAATTGGTACTGATGGGTGTCGAGGGCAATGTCCTCAATTGGCCCTCATAGACCACAAAAAATGCAAGGAGGTGCACATGGTGTCATTCTATGACAAAATCGAGGATATAGCAGAAGTTAACTTCGAAGAGTGGCCCAAAATTCAGTTAAGTCGAGAGACCCTAGAAGTTTGCCATGATATGCCAGAGATTGACCCCTACGCTGGTTCGCGCATCTTGAAGAAAATAGTCACATTCAAGAATTTCTTTAATTAGTTAAGACTTACTAATGGTACCAGATTGGCAGTTACCAAGGCTATCATGTATTTGTGGGCTGAGGGGCCCTCAGGCCCCGAGAAGTTCATGGTTACGGAAGGCTTGATGTCCGTAGTATCAAAGAAAGGTCTAATGCTATCACCTTCACAGAGGGGATCACCAAGTACCCTAGAAGCATAATTGCCCCTTCTATGTCACTGCCAAGATCAATGGGATAAAATTGAAAAGGAATTTTTTGGACAATGGGGCTTCAGTGAATGTTATGCCTTTATTCACATACGAGCAGCTTGGGCTCCGCTTGTCAAGTTTTGTCAGAAAATGACTATCATCGTTGGGTTAACCAAAGACAAGAGAATAACCCATGGGTATGTCATAGTCTCCTTGGTCATGGGGAAGGTGAGGGTACCCATGACTTTCCATGTGATTGATGTTCCTATAACTTATCATGCGTTCCTTGTGCACACTTGGATGAATGATCTAGGGCTGGTCTCTTCTACATACACCATTGTATCAAGATGATTTGGAATGGAAAAAAAGTGACAATAATTGTAACCGAGGACCCCTTTAGAAGCAATGAGGCCCACTTGACAGAGGAAGCACTATACGATGAAGTCGAAGACAATGAGGCCACAGGTTCAATATAGCAGCCCTTGTCGTTCCCTATTCCTTCTTGAGAACAGGTCCAACGAGAAGTCTATGTGACACCTCGAAGGGTTAGTGTGAAAGAAAGGCTCGGAGAACGAACTCGAGGAAAAAGGCAAGTTGAAGAATCCTCGCGGGAGGAGGCTCCAAAGAGATGTATTTGTTGTGTCCTACCTGACGGGCAAGTCACTTAGTAGTTATGATGGGGGGGGGGGGGACCACCCGTGATGCCAGGAGGGTGAGTTCCCAAGACGAGGCGCATGAAGCAGAGGCCAACATCACCGCGACGCCCACTAACGCGATCCCTATGCCAGAATGCATGGAGGATCGCCCTAAGTAGCAGGAGCTCAAGGAAGTAAACCTCACCCCCACCTGGGGAATCACCACGACCATTCTTTATCTACAAGGGACTATCCCCAAAAAAGAGGCAGATCTTCTTGGCACTGCTGATAGAATATGCTGATGTTTTTTAATGAAAATATGAGGAGATGCCCGGATTGGACCCAAGCCTGGTCTGTCATAAGCTAAACATCCGCCCCTCAGACAAGTTTGTCAAATAATACTTACGAAACTACACCCCCGAGGTGATGATAAAAATCAAGGAAGAGCTGGATAAGCTATTGTGGGTTACCTTCATCAAGCCTGTCCAGCACCAGGTGTGGTTTTCAAACATAGTCCCCATCAAGAAAAAGAATTGGCCCATCAGGATATGTGTAGATTTTAGGGACTTGAACAAGGCGTGCCCGAAAGACGAGTTCTTGCTGCCACATGTTGAAATCCTCATCGACGTTACCCGTTGAATTGGGGAATTTTTGCTTTCATCCTAGAATCATCAAAAACTTGTTGCCACTTCCTTGATTGATATACACCATGATCTTTATCCCTCTCGTTCTCGAATTCCTCCTTGCCATCAGATTGATAACGAGGTTGTCTTAGAACAGGTTGATTAGCAAGTCGATCCCGACCAAAGGCCTCTATTTGGATCCTATCAATTCCTTGGTCAACAAGTTGATCTCGGATAAATCCCTCTGCACGAATTCTATCACCGTGTTGGTTAATAGGTTGGCCTTGGGCAAACTCCTCAACGCGAACCCCATCAATTGTCGGTTTCCTATTGGTGTTCTTGAGGTTCAACCCCATGAGTAGATCTCGAATTTTTTAGAACTACCTGTCAATAAGTTACGCTCCCCACAAAGATTTCACCCCCATGATCTCCGTTAGGGGCGTTCAAATTTTTGATTGGCCGCAATTTCCTACCCTACCCTACTAACGGCTAGCCACAAAAAATCGGGTAAGAATGCGGAAGAATTTTTGGTCTTCCAATTAAATTGGGTAGGAATGCGAAATACCCATCAATTTCTGCATTCCTACCTTACCCTACCCGCAAAAAATATATTTAACTTTTTTATATTTTTTTTAGTAATTTTAAGAGTATTTGTGTGATATAATTTATATTATAACATTGTTATTGTTGTAGATGTTTGAGTTGCTAAAACATGGACTTTTTTGTGTATGTTACATGATTTATGGTAAACTGGTGATCTATTGGAACAGTAATGATTTTAATGTGTTTCATATGGTTTAAACTTAAAATAATTATTATTGTATTTGTGTAGCAATTATGATAGATTGATGTTCATGCTTTCTTGTGTTTTCTTGTAATTGTTGTTGTAGTTGTTTTAGATTTTAGTGTTATTGATTTATTGTGTTGTTAAATTGATGCATGTTATTTAATTGAATTATTAAAATGATCCAAAAATTAATAGCTACAAAAGTGTTTACCCGACTTCCTAGCCGATTAATCGGGTAGGAATATCACACCTGATCGGGTAAGGTAGGTCAAGAAAAAATTCTTTCGCAAAGTATCGGATAGAAAGACGAAAAACTATATTTCATACCCGTAGGGTAGGATGAACACCTCTAATCTCCTTTAGTAGGGTTTGTGTGACCTGCCTCATTATGCGCCATTGAACAAGGAAATTTCTTGCTCTGATATCACTTAACACAGTAGAACACATTGAAAGTATGACTAATGCCAATACCCAAAGAAACCTGGTGCAACAAAGTTAAGAATACTCTCAATAAAAGATGTACAAAATACTAAGGCTTACAACTTTATTTATAGTAATAAAGTCATAATCCTTGTAGGATAGGGAATTCTAATTCTAAATAGAGTTAGAAATATTATTCCTAATAGAATAAGAAATACAATTTCTAATAGAATAACAATACTAATCTAAGAAAGAAACTTAATCAAAAAATGAAGTTAGCGCTAAAATTAAGGCAAAATAATAATGAATAAAAATATTGGAAGTGCTTGGCACTTCGACTCTGCATAATCACTGATCGACACGTCTCACCTCTTGGGTCTTTGGTGCTCCAATTGCCCTAGGAAGTCCTTAGCTACCTGTTCTACATCAGGGATTGAACCTTCTTGTATTGGCCCAAATCCTTATCTTACAATTTAAGATCTATAATATCTTCCCAAGGGTTCATGTGGGCTTCTAGAAACAATAAGGTGACATTTTTTAGGCGGGTAGCTTGATGCCCAAGGTAAGATTGACTTGTGGAGCTCTGTTTCTTCTCCTTGCAGTAAGTTCTAAGTAGTCATGATAAAGGCCAAGCTGCTGTGTTGATTGTTGAGTTGCTTTTGATGATGACCAAGCTGCTTTTCTTTCCCTAGGTGACCAGGAGGTTTCTATTCTCGTGTTTGGTGGCTTTTGGTGAGGTTGTTTGAATAGAGGGGAGCTATTTTGAGTAGCTATGAATTTAATTTGAGCTATAATTTTTGGTGTCATCACTTTTTAGGTTTGAGTACAAAAAGACAAGATTGGACTCGAACAAACTTATGGCTTTTTGTTTTACATTAACCAATAAGACCATCTCCAATGGAAACTCAAATTCTTATTCAAATTTCAGTTAAAAAAAAAGGTAAAAAATTTGATTTGGTATAAACCTCTCCAATGGAGAAACTCAAATTTTAAGGAAGATAAATCCAAATTTGAATGAAGGCAAACCCAAATTTAAAAGAGGGTTGAAGTGGCCCCTCTGTATACAGTTGGGCCAGGAGTGACTACTAAATGTATCGTATTTTGATTCTTCTTCTTTTTTTTTTTGTCCGAAAGTCTTCTTCGTGAGTCTTCATTAATATGCTCCTAGTAGTTCATGGAAAGGAGGGTAAAATCTCATCATTAAAGATTTGAGTATGAATTTGATCTCCCTTGTTTGGATGAAAAAATTAGTCTTCCTGATTTGAGCTTTGGGTATAAGATTAGAGAAGGTTTTTAGTTTTATTACATAAATTTAAATTTGGGTTTAAAAAAAAAAAGGTAGGGATTGAAGATGTTTAGGGCACGATTCTTCTGATGTTGAAGTGTCACAACACATGTGTTATTAAGTTGAATGACACTGTTTTGGCCAAAAAACACTGTCCATCACACAGACACAAATGTCGTCGTCGAATTGGTTTCCCCAAATCCACAATGACATCACCTTTCTGCAACCATTAAAGACACATACGATTTCGCCAAAAGTCAGTCATCAAAACCCTTCGACCTTTATTCTTCTTCTTCGTCAGCCAAATGAAAATTGTTACCAACTGATTATCGACTTCGCGTATCGTCGTATGTCAAATTTTGACAATTAGTTATTGCCAGAGTTTCTAATTTTATTAGCTAAATAACATTCAGAAGCATACTCCAACAAAACATTATACAATTTCTGGCCCTTTTCAAAGGTGAAACTGTCCCCGAAACAACGAATGATCTCTGGACAATCTTGGAGCTCATCCAATATCATATTTTTGTTCATCAACAAAGTAGAGTGAGAAACATCACAAGAGTTCACGACCATCAATGGTGGAATTTGAGGACTTTGGCTTATGGGGATGACAAGATTGATTGTGCTATAGCTTCCATGTCTGATAAATTCATCTCGTACCCACTTCAAGGGTGTGATCAAAGCTTGAAATATGGGTCTTTGTGACTTTGAGGTTGGGTTCTTTCGTTTTTGGTGGACTTCCTTTTATGAGCAATAAGAGTCACAATTTAACTCCTATTGCAGAGGCTACTATAATCCTGTGTTTCTATTTTGAGGAATTTTCAATTCGGTACAAAAATTTGGACTTAATTTGAGCTAAACTATATTAAGGAAACTTATTTGGCCTTAAATGCATTCTTTTGAAAAAAAGGCTAAAATGTCATTCATTACTTCATTACTATCCCTGCTTTCTCCATTACTGTTTTAGTCTCTCTTCTTTATTTTCTCTCTATCTCTTTCTCCGTTACTCTATCCTCTATTTTCTCCTCTATCTATCCCTCCCCTATTTTCTCTCTCTATCTTTGTCACTCTCCGCCTATTTTCTCTTGCCTTTACTCTTTCTCTCCTAATCTCTCTCTTTCTTTCTCCTTATATCAATATTACAACATCACAATTACACCAATTAGTTATAATTGCTCATTACTACACCAAACAGTTATTCACATGTTCTGATAAACCAACCAGTTACACAAAACAATTATACAAAATTATAACACCAACCCAATTTCTCATTCAGTTATTTACAAAAACAAAAAAGTTATACCATTTAGTATTACGATATGATTACATCAATTATATACACAAAATTGAGTTTATCATTACACAAAAAGAGTTTACCATTACACCAAATGGTGTAACTCTTTGTGTAAACAACTGAATAACAAATTGAGTTGACATCATAATTTTGTGTAATTATTTGGTATAATTATTTGGTTTATTAGAATACATGAGTAACTGTTTATGGTATTGTAGGGTAATTGTAACTGATTGGTGTAATTGTGTTGTTGTAATGTTGACATAAAGAGAGAGAGTAAAGGTGAGAGAAAATAGGGTGATAGAGAGTGAGAGAGAGAGAAAATACGGGATAGAGAGATAAAAAAATTAAATCAAATTTTTACATTTTTGAAAAGAAAATAAATTATCAATGACAGAGAGGAAAAATAAGGGAGAAATAGAGAGAGTAACAGAGAGAAAATGGGGGAGAAAGAGTGAGAGAGTAATGGTGAGAGAGAGTAACGGTGTGGGAAATTGGGGGAGAGTGAAAGAATAAGAATTATGCGTAATTTTTTTTTTGCTGGTTGAATTATGCATATTTTTTTTTCTTTGAGTAAACTATGCATAATTTAAGGAAGGATAAATTAGTAAAATAAATAAAAGGTCATTTAAATTTTGTACTTAATTATAATATATTTTATTAAAATAGAAATTAATAGAGTAAATAACTTATCCATACATTTTCTCTCAAATAAGTCTAAAAAATATACCAAAACCTAAAAAAAAATCTTTCTATTTTCTTCAAAATTTAAAAACCTCTAACTAATATGAAAATATAAAAAAATTGGACTTATCCGAGAAATTGTAGCCCAATCAAATTCCTAGAAAGAGTGAGAGAAAGTGAGAATGTCACACCCCAACTCCAAGGGCATGACCGGCCGTGAACCATAGATCCATAACCTATGGAACATCTAAGCCTAATAATAAACTAATAATATAGGAGTGAAAAATTACATTAATACTAAATTGATTTCATGTCAATATGTCAAAGTCAACATACCTAAAACTATTTGTCCCAATTATCCAAACAGGTAAAGACGGCTATACAATATATGTTATGGTGGTCACAACACTATTAGTCCCCAATCAATTCCATCAGTCCGCTATTGACATTCCAATTATTTACTCGAAAAAAAATTAAATTTTAAAAGCATGAGCTAAAAAACCCAGTGAATGGAAAGACCTGAAAAACATATTTGACATACGACATGTAAATCAAAGATTTGAAAAAATAACTTCATCAAGATAACCAATTTCTCAAGAATAACACAATCGGATTTCAACAAGAAATCATACCACAATGGTGAATCATATGAATGTGTAAATCAACGTGGATGAGCAAAAAGTGCAACTGACGTGTAATGATCGTGGATCAAAGCTACAAGGCTCGTGCGTGATCCTGGAACAAAATGCAGAGGGTATTAGAGGGATGTACGCAGTGAATATAAAGTGGTTCACTGGCTCAGGAGCTCGGCTAGTTCACTTCTTCAATGGAGGCACTTGCTCCCTCTCCTCTATTTATCACTCTAAAGTATTACCATTCGGTATATCTCGAAATTAGGGTTTATTTTTTTCCTTCTCCCTCTGTGGAGGCGTTACATAATATTTATAGGACTATTCCCTATTTTGTTGGATCTCAGCCGAGATCTTCGCCTGCCATTAGTGGGATTCTCCTTGATTTTAGAAGAGAATCTTGGTTGGTTGGGAGTTTCATGCTTTGAACCCAATTTTCGCATTTATCCAATTGTTCCCTTGTCAGTTCCGCTATCATCTCCCTAGGGGGAGCTCTGGCCCTGGACTTCTGAGCTTCTCGTATCCAACCAGACCTCATGACTTGACCTTGTTTCCTAAGCTCGCTCTTAAAGCTTATTTGAGGTATCATCACATATCATAATGGTGGAGACTATATGATATCCAATAATCGAAGGGAACCAAATACCAAATACCAGAATATATCTCAGGGTTAGATCCAGCATCATACTTAGGGTCACCACAGCCTCCCCTGTTCTATTTCCTAAGACGATTCGGTGAAGGTCACCAGGACGCATCAGGCATTGTTCCTTCAACCGTTGAAAACTAGGGTCACCTCAGCCTCCCCCAGGTCTGTTCTCTAGTGGCCAGGGTCACTCGCACACAGATGAATAATTTTTATGAATTTTCAATTATGGTCTCATTCACTACCACAAAGTCTCACCATATAAACAAGTGATTGAGTCACAATACTTCACAAAAGAATTCATCAAAGTAAGGAGAATCATATGCCACAAGTATTTAGACACTTAGTAAAACATTTTGTAAAGATAGTAATGAACAAGCATGATGTATTATTTTTAAAATGTTTAGGGATACAGGAAATTTTTGAAAATACGTAGCATGCCAAACCACTCAACTCAAGTCTAAATAATATGTTTCTTGAGTGTTGCTTGTTACCCGAAGTAGAGTGAGATGTTATCGATGTATTTCCTTTTTTTCTTACAATTTTCTTTCTCCTTTGATGAGGCGATCTTCCTTCCTCTTCTCTCTTTTTCTCTCTATTTTTTCTTGAAAGTGGAAGACTACTTATGCACTTATATCTTAATCCAATCCCCAAATGACCTATTTATAAGCATTCTAGGATTATTCTAGAGAATATTGACATGTGACATTTTTAGGGGAGATTTCCTGGGAGAAAAAAAAATTGAAAGCCTTATAAAGGCATCCCATTTTTTTTTTTATTTTATTTATTTATTTTTGAGTATCGGCAGCCGCATATCCGTGCGGAATATTCCCATTTTTTTTTTAGTGTCGGTAGACGCGAATATTCCACAAACATTGGTGTAATATGCAAATAGTGCAACCTCAACCCCCCCCCCCCAACTTGATTCATGCAGTGTTCTAAAACAAATATGATATTCAATGATGAACAGTAAAAAGATAAAAAGGGTTAGAGAATACCTCGCACTTGAGCTTTGACAAAAAATCAATATCTGCGACTAAGAAAAACAAAACTATACGACAAAAGACATAATTAACATGGAATAAAAAAAATAAAGTAAGTAAATAAAAACCTGTACATTAAAAAGTAGAAAAAAGAAAAACTAATTATTCCTTCACAACTTCTGGGTATACCGGATCCATCAAATTCTCCTCCACCACTTGTTCTTCAAAGCCCCCAAAAAATGGCTTAAGTCTTTGGCCATTGACCTTGAATGTCTAGCCATTTTCGGGGTTTTGAATATCCATAGCTCCATTGGGGTAGACCACCTTGACAAGATAGGGGTCATCCCAACGGGATCGGAGTTTGCCTTGAAAAATGGAGAGTCGAGAATTGTATAAGTGTACTTTTTGCTCAGGCTCAAATGATTTCCTCACAATGGAGTTATCATGAAAGATTTTGGCCCTTTCTTTTGAGATTTTGGAGCTCTCATACGCATCTCGTTGAATCTCTTCCAACTCATTCAGCTCTAACTTCCTATGATCACCGACTATTCTCAAATTAAAATTTAAAGTCTTAATGGCCCAATAGGCCTTGTGTTCCATTTCAACTGGCAGGTGGCAAGCCTTTTCATAGACAAGCCGGTAGGGAAACATGCCCAAAATAGTTTTAAAGGTAGTGCGGTATGCCCAGAGGGCATCGGTCAATCTATCGGACCAATCCTTCCTGTTTGGGTTAACCGTTTTTTCTAGAATGTTCTTGATCTCTCTATTGGCTAGCTCGGCTTGGCCATTTGTTTGTGGGTGATAGGCAGTGGATACTTTGTGAGTGACGTCATATTTGAACATTAGAGATGCAAATGGCCTATTACAGAAATGTGATCCACCATCACTTTTTATTGAACGAGGCATCCCAAACCTCGAAAAGATGTTCTCCTTGAGAAACTTGACTACGACTCGGTGGTCATTAGTCTTGGTTGGGATAGCCTCCACCCATTTGGACACATAGTCCACTGCCAAGAGGATGTACAAATAACTAAATGACATAGGGAAATGACCCATGAAGTCGATGCCCCAACAGTCGAATATTTCTATGACAAGTATTGGTGAAAGGGGCATCATGTTTCTTTGGGTCACACTACCCAACCGTTGGCATTTGTCGCATCCCTTACAAAATGAAACACAGTCTTTGATAAGAGAGGGCCAGTAAAAACCTGATTAAAGAATTTTGGCCGAAGTCTTTTTCGCTGAGAAATGTCCACCGCAAACTTGTGAATGACAAAATGCAAGGACGTCCCGCTATTCATTTTCAGGTACGTATCTCTCATGATTTGGTCGGGGCAATACTTGAACAAATATGGGTTGTCAAAGTAGAAGTACTTCACATCTGTCATAAATCGTCTTCGATCTTCTAGGCTCCATTGCGGTGGTGTTTGTCTTGTTACAAGATAGTTACATATATCAGCATACCAAGGACATACAGAGTGAATTGACAGCAAATGCTCATCAGAAAA